AGGTCAATTAAGGGCATACCGTCCTTTCTTATGTTAATACATAATATACGTGTTATCCCAGGGTTTATAAAAAATAATAATAAATAAATAAATACTAAAATGAGATCACAACTACTAAGTATGTTACTAGTGTTTGATGTGTGCCACATCATCATCTAAAAGCTTCGTCAGCTTTTATTAATGGACACTCCAAGAACTCACAACAACTTTTGAACTTTAAAACTTTACTTCAAAATCTAAACAAACTCCAAAAACCCATGTAATTTCAATGGACTATTATGCAAAAACTCCAGAGTATCATCCATAGATTTAAGCTTTGTTCATGTAAATCTCGATTTTGGGTCTGTTTTTTCTTATCTGATTAAAGAGTACAAACATGATTGGTTCGCACTCTCTTTAGTAGAATTTTGTTAGGATTTTACATACAACATAAGAATGAAGTATGGTTAGTACTACTTGGGATACAAAAATACGTATTGCTTGAGATGTTAAGTAGGATTATGTTGAGATGTTATGTACAATTTATACTGATTTAAATTACAAATTGTTGGGACGTTATGTACGTACTGCTTGTGATGTTCAGTAGGATTATGTTGGAATGTTACGTACAATTTATACCGACTTAAATTACAAAATGTTAGTATGTTATGTACAAATAATTTATTAGGATTATGTTGGGATGTTGCGTACAACTTATATTGATTTAAATTACAAACTATTTGGTATGTTAAGCAGTAACCAAATAATTAAACAAAAAAATCATGCCAGTCCAGATGTTGCTCTGTTCCAATATTGCTATGTTAATTTGGAATAAAATGACATAGTATACAAAGAAAGAGAGTAAAAATTTATGAAAACAAAGGAATTGAAAAATAGATGTGTGATTTGTTTATGATTCGTTTTGAAACAAATAAAAGAGAATTATCGAGATTTGAAAGAAGAAGAAGATAATAGGGTTGCTGAAATGGCGGGATTTTGGAAAAAAATCAAAATCAATATTTTGAGAAAGAAGAAAATGGCAGATTTGGGTTGCTAAAATGGGTTGTTGAAAATAAGGTAGGGAAGAATAAATAGTATTTGTGAACAGTGTATACATATATGGAAATTGTGTATAAAACAGATAAACATTTTTACCCACTTTAGTAATTACTGTTGATTAACAAAAATGCAGAAAATGGGTTACTGTTGGACTGGAGGTGATCTTGGTCCGAAAAATAGATATTAACTCAATCACTTGGCATACCGAATCCTTGATTATTATTTGAGGCGGCTTGTTTATCACATGAGATTAGAAAACAAGTTTGAACTCAATTCATTGGCTTAGGTTTTTCACGCCAATGAAAGCAGAAACAACAGTATGTTTTAAGCTTCTACAAATTATCCTAGGTCCTTAAAATCAAATTTTGTTTGCAGTTATAGTGGTAAAAATAATGTTCTAAACTACAACAATCATCCTACGTCGGAAATAGTGTAAATATGTAAATAACCAATGGATTGGTTTTCAGTTTGGTTGTCACTTAACATCGTTTGAGGATTGAGGAGGGAAATAGAACTAAATGCACACTGATTGACCTTCTAAGAAATGAATTGAGTTTCGAAACTCACCAGTTTAAATTTAATTTGACGTAAAAATCTACTGCTCATGAGATTTCCTGATGATGAACACAGAGAACAATGGATACAAGTGATCATAATGAGCCATCTTTTCTTGATACAAGAATGTTTTGAAATTTAAAAGAAAAGCTTTCACTGCTGACAACTGATATACTGAGCACTCTTGAGATAAATATATGAAAGTGATTATAACAGTACACATGGTAGAAAGATTGGCACAATCTGTTGGTCATTTCTTAAGTTTGGGAATGAGGACCAAGGGATGTTCCTTCTGCAATGTTAAAGCAACCTTCTCATTCATATCTAGCTTAATGGGATCATTTCCATGTGGAAGTGACCAATCAAAATAATGAATCAATGAAGCAACTATCAAAGGAACAAGCTTTGCTGCCATGGGTAGGCCAGGGCAGATTCTTCTCCCTGCACCAAACGTTAAGAACTCAAAATCAGTCCCTTTAAAATCTAGAGTCGAGTTGAGAAACCGTTCTGGCTTGAAGTTCAATGGATCTTCCCAAATCATGGGGTCTCGCCCAATCGCCCAAACATTTACTAGTACTTGAGAATTCTTAGGAACGGTGTAATTCATCACTAAGCATGAGTCAGGTGCACGGTGAGGAAGCATAAATGGTGCTGAAGGATGCAACCTCAGAGTTTCTTTGAAACAGGCTTGAAGGTAATGTAGGTGAGGCAGTTGGGATTCTTTTAGCAAATCTTGTTTGATTTCTCTTGTCATTTCTTCGCGGACTTTCTTCATGGATTCTGGATTTTTTATCAATTCTGCCATCACCCATTCAATCGCTAAGGCACTAGTTTCTGCACCACCAGCGAATAGCTCCTGAGAATGCATTGTGTGAATGAATGGTTTTCAGATTATATGACAACAATTGCAATTGAAACCTTATTTGAAAATGAAACTATGCCATTAATTTTATTCACATCATTTTAATTTCTGAAGTCACAGAGCATACCACAACGAACAGTATGGGATAACTTGAGTCTGAATAAAGCCAAACTAGGCCTGTTCAAGCTTAACAAGGCTAGTTGTGCCTTGTTCTAATTAATCTGGCATTCGGTTCAAAGATGGTTTCGATATGATTTCAATTGAAAGAAAATTACTTCCAAAATGCAAAAACTAACCTCTAATTTTGATGGAATCCCTCATTAGATTTCATAGCTTTATAGTACAGCCTGATTTTCCTTGAACATTTTCCTTAATGTAATTTTCTTAGAGGGTTTTGTTATCTCAATTACATGCCATTTGCATCAGATGCTCATAAGCTAATTCAATCCTTGCCCAGTATTTAACAAAACTGAAACTTGAATCTAGACTGGTGAACCACATCCAATTAATGAACAATTTAACAAAAATTGACCTCAAATTGCTAGTAATAAGCTTGTTTGTTCACCAGCCCTGATAAAATAAATAATATGCAATGACCAAGCGTTCCTTACCACACTGGAGGATAATATTATCTTCCCCCAAACCAGGAGACTTCTGTGGCTGTTTGTTAGTGTAGGAAAATGAATTGCTAGTTTTGCCACAACTATATAGCCCTATATTAATCTGTGAGTATATGCGCAAGTGAGGAGACAAGAGGGCAAACCTGGAGCAGATAGTTGATTTGATCATTGGTACAAGAATTGTCGATGAGGGCGTCCAAGAAGTCCTTTTGGCCTGAAGCGTTGCCTTTTCTTCCTTCTCTTCTGTCTTCGATAATGGGCTCCCACATAGCACACATCCTCATAAACGCTTCCTTTGCCTTCTTGTTTAAACCCTGAAGATCTAATGCACGTAAAATTGGATAAAAATCAGGCAGATTTGGAGCTGAAATAAAATCAACATATTTTCCTAGAAGACCCTTCATCCCTCCATCCACACTCTGCTTCTCCAATATGATTAAATCTCTTGATATAAGAACATTACTCAACATACTAAAAACAGTGGCAAAAACCAGTTCTCCAACTTTCACTTCCTTTCCCTCCTTTGCACCCAAAAAATTCACCATGTCCATTGCCTTTCTCTCTCTCAAACATGCTTGAGACTCCATTGCCTTGCCCGAGAAGAGCTCACTTCTGCATATTGTTCTTAAATTCTTCCATCTATCATTGCACTCCAGTGCCCACCCAAGTGATAAGTGATTGAATTTAGGGCTCTTAGCTGGTACTGCATGAGGAACATATCGTGCAGATAAGATTCGATCATGGGTCTTGAGAATTTCCTCCGCAGCAGTTGCCGATGATCCGATGATCATGATTTGAGTTCCTAGTCTCAGTGACATGAGTGGACCATAAGTCTGAGCAAAGTTTGCTAGAGTGATGTGAGGCTTTTTTCCCATATGAGGAATATTGCCCAAGATTGGCCATGGACTTGGTCCTGGTGGAAGTGGTAGAGTACTTTTTGATAGGAAATATGATTTGAAATGCTTTAGGATGAGAAAGATGATGGGCAAGAGTAGTATAGGATTGAAGAGAGAGCTTGCTTCACTTGCAATAGTTATCAGCCATGACTTGCAGTATCAAGATCTGGCTTTTTGCAGTGTAATAGTACTGTTGTCAATTAGCTTAATTTTTCTATATATAGAGAGCATGCATGTTTAAAGGTCAACAACTGATGTTCTCTAGACACAACTATATAAAGAAAATTTAGGTTATGTTTGTTGACAATCAAGGCCACTGGGATTGCTTTGATTGCGTGGTGGATCAAGTAAAGCCACTATATTAGAAGGGAATTATTGAAGGTGTTTTAGAAAATATTTTTTCCAATCCCACAGGTAATTATCATCGACACAAAGCTGGTCTGAAATGTGACAAGAAATGTGATCTAAGGAAGCTTAAAACTAGAATTATGGAGAAAGACATTAGAGGCAAGAGTCTTAAAAATTAGCAAAACTAAGACACAATATATGGAATGTGAATTTGATAGAGTTATACAGCTTATAAAAATATAAATATTACAATTCATGTGATGTTTCCAATTTTTGGTATTTTTCATTTTTTTGAAAATTTTTGACGCTGTAAGGGCAATTTTGTCATTTCATGTTTTGCGCACCGGACATCGGGGGGTGTACCGGGGGTGTCAGAGAGTTGGTTGGTTGAGTTCAGGACTCTTGGAAATGCAAGGTTGGTCATTTTCGCATTTTTTCATTTTTCGCACCAGACGGACATATGTGGGGCCCGCTACCTGTATTGCCATGTACGGATATTTTAGTTGGGTCCATTTACATCATATTTATTCTTATTTATTGTGTTTTATGTGGTTGCAAATTATATGGGTAATTATGTGTGTGTGGTGTAAATTAAAAACAAAAAGGGAAAGAAAAAATAAAATAAAATAATGATGGGACCCACCAATGTCAAACTTAATGAGACATGTTTGGTCTCCATTCTCTCCTCTCCTCGCTGGTTTTCTCTTTTTGTTCTTTACCTTGCTTTTTCTTTTTTCTTCCTTTTGCATGCTTCAATCCAAGATCTCTCTCTCATTACTTAGTATTTTTAAGAGCCGTTTGCGGTAAATTGAAGCCCACGACGAGGCCTTCAGATCCATACCAGCAATTTCAGCATTTGGCCACCTTAGGGAGTCCGAAAATTTGGACCCATTTTGAGAGTTTTGCACAATTTTGAGATAGGGGTCTCTAATTCCCACTTTCTTGCACCTTTGTGAATTTTTCTACTAAAATTCTTATCAAGCATGTATAATTTGAGTTGATTGTTTCTAAATTGACTTACTTGGGTATGTAAAGCATGTTATTAGATGTATTGTTTGATTTGAATGAAAAGTATGCTTAAGTGTTGATTTTTTTATGTCTATTGTGTTGTTAATTGCTAGAAATGATGAATGTAAGTATGTATAATTTTCTTCGAATTTCTTGTAAAGCATGCTTATTTATATTATATGAAAATCCCTTATTGTCATGGTATTAATAGTATGAGAAGCATGCTAAGTTTAAATTTCTTATATGCCTAGAATGTTATGTGTTATGAATTTGGGTTCGATTTTTATTGAAGCTTTGAGTTAATTATTTTATTTTATTTTATTTTACTTTATTTTGTATACAAGAATGATGTATATAAAATATGTGGAAGTTGATATTAACATGTCATGGAAAGGCATGATGCATTCATGCATGACATTGGGCATAAAAAAGGGGAAAAAATTTGAGTTGAAATGGAAAATTGTTTTTGAAAGAAATAAAAGAAAATATTTTGGTAAAGGTTTTGATAAAAGTTTTGCGAAAAACCCGGTCGCCTAGGAAATTGCCTATGGGTCCGTGGCGTTAATGTGATACAGAGAGAGCTAAGGAGACTGCCCTAGCGTGATTGAGTTAACTGCATCCCAAATGACGCCCTGGAACTTGCCTTGTGGTCAGGGACAGTTAATTAATTCTTCTCTCGTGCCGCCATGGAGCTGCCATGGGACGGCTTACATTAACGGTTTGGAAATGATAGCAGAAATGGTTTTGGTAAAAATTGGGGAGTGACATTGCATGGCATTGCATCCTATTGCACGACATAATTTAATTATGACTTGGGTTGTCAAATTTGTTGCTATGTTTACCCCGGTATGGTATAATCCCGCTTCTTTATTTTTCTATTCATTGTGTGGATTCACGGGGTCACCAGAGGTGTGTCTTAGGCACCACCTACTGAGCAATTTGCTTACCCCTTATATTTATCATTTTTCAGGACATGGAAGGGAAGTGGCGGACGACGCTCCTCCATAGGGTTCGATGGGTTAGTAGACCGTTTTGACATACCTTGCAGTTATGATATCATTTTATTATTTATTTATTTATTTATTATTATTATTATTTTATAAACCCTGAGATGATATGTATATTATGTATTGACATAGGAAATAACGGTAATGCCCTTAGTTGACCTCAGGTTTGGGTAAGGACCCGGTTAACGATTCGGACCCTCGGGTTCGGGTCGTTACAAAATTGGTATCAGAGCAATGGTTTGAAAACTAGTCGGACGACGGGTAGAGACCTATTTAGGGTTGTGTGGGAAGTCGTTTGCGTTATTTAAGTGACTAATTACTAGAGTGTTTAGGTGTTTGAGAAGCATGCCTACTTGTTTACTTACTTACCTATTTATTTGCTTACATGATCACATGCTTATATGTTTGCAGTTTTGAGGGCATGTCTAATTGCTAAGTGCTTATGTGTTTAGATCCTAAAATTTGTGTTACATGGCCATGCATGTGAAGTAGTCATATAATCTAAACTATGAAAATGAAATGTGAAGGTAATTGAAAACATGTTTTACATGATAAGATGGCAAGCTGTGAGCACGGATCGTGTAAGTGTTAGTATATGAAATAATGAGGAAGATAGAAAAGGATATTTAATTTCACATAATAATTTAATGGATTTATCGTTTAAACTTCTGTGATAGGACACGGTCGTGTCAAGAGTTATGTTTCGGTTATTATATATATAGATATTAGTGTATTTTGTGTATATACCTATATTCTTATGCATGCATGTGGTCGAGCATGGGAAGGTTGCTAGTACGGTGGGGAACTTGTCATGGCATTGAGGATTATGTAAGTTTTGACTTTAGTAGGCGAGAAGCTCGGTTGCTCTAAAGTTGTTGGGTGAGTGTTCTTGTCGAACTAATGGCGTGGGTTTCTAGATCGTGGACTGAGCTATTTTGTACAGCCATTTTTGATCTTCTTGTTGCATTTGGTGGGGTGCTTAGAGCATGACTTTAGAATGGGTTCATATTTCATTGCATGATGCCCTTGTTGCATGTGAGTTTCATGCGTTGGTGTATGGGTTTTGGTGACCATGGAGGTCGGGTGTGCGAGTGAGGGCTTTGGTATGCCCATAAGAGGTTGGTGTTAGTGACTTGGGTCACGGTTTGGTGCGGAGGTTCTTTTCGAACCGGTAGTGGTTAGTGTGACAGTGGTTGTTTAAGTCACGAATGTAGTCTATTGGTTGTAGGTGTGTATTACGGGTGTTCTAGTACGGTCTGAGGAAGTGTTTTGGTTCCGACTATCATGGAAACTTGTTGGATTCTGTAGGTCGGGGGTGATATAGAATCGGTTACTGGGTGTCGCGCATTTTGTGGTCTTGTAAGAGTTTGTTTTAGAGACTGGTTTGTCAAGGTGTGATTTTCATTTTGGATAGTTGTGGGAGCGTGTTGCTGGTAATTGACTCTCGGTGAGTTGATTACTTGGTTCGGTGGATGAGCGGGGATATAGGTTACCACGGTTGTCGAGAGAGTCTTGAGGTGGTGTATAGTGGTTAGTTTTAGTCGTATGGAGCAGGATTGTACTATAAGGCAAGTTATTTGAGGTCATTGAAGTGCTCGTTGTTGTGGATGAAGTGATCGATAATAAGTGTGTGTTACCAAAAGGACTGTGTTTTAAATGTTGTAAGTTGCGGGCTGGGGTTGTATTTCAAATCAAGTCTGACATATCAGGAGATAGTGTTTGGTGTTTGAGGATTCTAAAAGATAGATTGATGATAAGAATGATTGGGATGAGGTTGATCTTGTAGGTTTAGTTGGTAGGCCATTTGACCTTTGTCGGGGCCAAGGGTGTTCTGAGAAACAGTGCGGAGAAGAAATGATGATGTTGAACCTAGTGTGTGAAGTTTTCTTGGTTAGACACGTAGATCGCATTAGAAAGAGTGGTTTAAGTAGTCAGTTAGGCGTTTGTGAATGATTGTATCGTTGATGATTTTAAGGAGACAATTGGGTGTTGAGCATTTCGGATCTTGTGCTCATTTTGTTCCAGGATTTGTCGGCATGGCATTGCCGTATGGAGATTCTTTTCTAGTGGTAAATAGTAGTTGTTATGGGTAGTATCGAGAGTTGTGCTTATTCTTTTGTTACAATGGTATTATCTTAAGGATGTTCAAGGAAAAACTTTTTGAGTAGTGACTTGATGATCTGATGGGATAAGAGGTTTAAACTGTTGTTGAAATGAGTGACAGTGGAGGTGTTATGGTGTCATGGTGTGATGTTTAGTGCTGATGAGCAGGATAGTTTAAGGTATGATCTGAGGATGGATTGGAGATTATAAGCTGTTGTTGTGTGCTGATAGGTAGGTGATGGGATTGTGCGCCAGTTGAGGCGATTGTGGATAGTTGAGTTTTTAGAACTAGCGAGAGCGGTGTTGCCGGATAGACACCTTTTTTCTTTTGAGGAGTTAGTGGAATGTTGTGACTGAGGGTCTTGTGTGCACGGTGTTCGAGGTAACATCGTTTTGAAGGGTGAAGGTGGAATGGATGGTAAAGTGTCATTTTATGGCTTTGGGGTTGTCATTTGGGAGTGATGGTTTCCAGATAGGACGGAACGCGGTGTCCATAGTGCTATGATTGTTTCTAGTGATCGAGTGTCGTGAGCATTAATGCTCTTATTTGATTGGTCTTGGTTAGCATAGTGTTGTGGAGAAGTGTGTATGAAGTTTCTGTGTTGATTGTGTAGGACGGTCCGTTTGTGGCAAGGTCGCTTTGATTGGGTGTCCACAAATGGATGAATGATAAGTAGTGTGTGACAGGTTGTCGGGTGCATTTGAGTGCGAGTCGTCAGTCTCTTATGAGAGCTGGGTTCGTTGCCCTTTCCGTTTGTTCTAGTGCCGGCAAGGACGTCGTTTGTTGTGAGTCTTGTTCTCCATTTAGGAGTTGTGCGCGACCATGGGTGGACAGACCTATGAGTGGTTTGTTATGTTGTTGGGTTCATCAGTAGAGGTTCTGGTTGAATGGGTTGACTCACTCCCTTGGAGGGAGGTGGAGTCTTGGGCTTCTGTACTGCCTGTTTTGAGTATGGTTTTGACCGATAGTATGCGAGGCACGAACTATCGAATAGGATTGTATATTTTCAGTGTTAGGTATTGGTGGTGGCGGGAAGGAATTTGTCATAAATGAAAGATTGAAAATGATTAGGTGATGTGATGTGACACATGTATTTGGATGTTTTTATAGGTGATTGATTCTAACAGTGTTTCGAGGACAGGTGTTGGTATTGTCGAAAGTTATGCAGCTAGAGAATGATTATGGGATTCCATTGAGGATAATATGAATGATTGACTTTAGTTTTGAGATTTCAGGCATGAAATAGTTACATTGTGTGTTTTGACGAGGTAAGAATTGAATCGAGTAATGCTATGGAGTTGTTTACTTAGTATAGGCGTTAATAGGAGATTAGAGATCTTTTATGCTAGTTGATGACTGTGGTATTTGGTGCCGTATTGCTTTTAGCTTTTTATAGTTATTTGATTAAAGTATGATTGGGATTTTTAGAGTATGTATATGGCTGTATAGTTGTTAAGGTTACGTAGAGCGATGGATTATTGTGAGTGGATCTTATTGTTGTTTTGTGGACTGTGTGAGATTTTGTTTGACGTTTGGACTTGAGGATAGGAACAACATCTGTGTTGAGATCGGATCGAGGATGAGAATGGCCTAGCCAACCATTTCTCCTAAATCAATCCCTCTCTAGCACGATGTTGGGTCAAAGGTAAATGATTGTTTTAGGTTCTCACGAATAGTGAGAGTATGGTATTGAGTGTGTGTTAGTGTGGTGGTGTATATTCAGGAAGTTGTATCGGGTGACGAGGTGTGTTGGGTGGGACCCAGTGCACGATCCGTTTAATTATTAAAGATCTTGTTCCAAGGATTTGTGTCTTGGGTACAGGATAGTACGCTTATTGATTTGGTGACTAATGTTTATGCAGTTATTGGGGGACTCATTGTTTAATCATTATGTAATTGTTAAGTGTAATGATTGTTATATGGTGTGATTAGTAGTCGTTGGTACGATTATGTGGTGGTGTAGCTACGTACTAAATAGTAAGTGTTTGGTCTGTCAGGGACGTGTAGATTAGAGTTGAGATTGATTGATAGATGGATGGAATTTCTTGTTTAGGGTTTAATGTGTCATTTGAAGGATGAGTGAAGGTTGGATGTTGTTACGTTCCGGGGTCTTGTAACCATTTTCCTTTCAGGCTTTGGAGCCTTTCATGGCAGTGTGGAGTGGACTGATGTTCGTCTTAAGTCAGGCATAGAGCCTAGTTGGTCTTATGTTATGATGAAGTGGGAAATGAGTACCGTTTTGGGTTTTGGTGACAGTGGTGTGTAATTGCCTGATAACGTCCAGTGTCAAAGGCAATAATGTTAGTGGGTTCATAGTCTCAAGATTTCGTGAGGTGTTCTTGGAGAGTGTGTGGCTATGGGCCTTCATCACAAGGAGGGTAGATTTCGAGGACGAAATCTCTTTAAGGAGGGTAGATTGTGATGTTTCCAATTTTCGGCATTTTTCATTTTTTTGAAAATTTTTGTCGCTGTAAGGGCAATTTCGTCATTTCACGTTTTGCACACCAGACATCAGGGGGTGTGCCGGGTGTGTCAGAGAGTTGGTTGGGGCATTCCATTGAGTTCAGGACTCTTGGAAATGCAAGGTTAGTCATTTTCGAATTTTTTCATTTTTCGCACCGGACGGACCTGTGTGGGGCCAGCTATCGGTATTGCCATGTACGGGTATTTTAGTTGGGTCCATTTGCATCATATTTATTCTTATTTATTGTGTTTTATGTGGTTGCAAATTATATGTGTAATTATGTGTGTGTGTGGTGTAAATTAAAAACAAAAAGGAAAAGGAAAAATAAAATAAAAAAATGATGGAACCCACCAATATCAAACTTAATGCATGAGACATGTTTGGTCACCATTCTCTCTTCTCCCCGCTGGTTTTCTCTTTTTGTTCTTTACTTTGCTTTTTCTTTTTTCTTCCTTTTGCAAGCTTCAATCCAAGGTCTCTCTCTCATTACTTAGTATTTTTAATAGCCGTTTGCGGCAAATCGAAGCCCACGACGAGGCCTTCAGATCCATACCAGCAATTTCAGCATTTGGCCACCTTAAGGAGTCCAAAAATTTGGACCCATTTTGAGGGTTTTGCACAATTTTGAGGTAGGGGTCTCTAATTCCCACTTTCTTGCACCTTTGTGAATTTTTCTACTAAAATTCTTATCAAGCATGTATAATTTGAGTTGATTGTTTCTAAATTGACTTACTTGGGTATGTAAAGCATGTTATTAGATGTATTGTTTGATTTGAATGAAAAGCATGCTTAAGTGTTGATTTTTTTATGCCTATTGTGTTAGTAATTGCTAGAAATGATGAATGTAAGTATGTATAATTTTCTTGGAATTTCTTGTGAAGCATGCTTATTTATGTTATATGAAAATCCCTTATTGTCATGGTATTAATAGTATGAGAAGCATGCTAAGTTTAAATTTCTTATATGCCTAGAATGTTATGTGTTATGAATTTGGGTTCGATTTTTATTGAAGCTTTGAGTTAATTATTTTATTTTATTTTATTTTACTTTATTTTGTATGCAAGAATGATGTATATAAAATATGTGGAAGTTGATATTAACATGTCGTGGAAAGGCATGATGCATTCATGCATGACATTTGGCATGAAAAGGGGAAAAATTTGAGTTGAAATGGAAAATTGTTTTGAAAGAAATAAAAGAAAATATTTTGGGAAAGGTTTTGATAAAAGTTTTGCGAAAAACCTGGTCGCCTAGAAGATTGCCTATGGGTCCGTGGTGTTAATGTGATCTAAAGAGAATTAAGGAGACTGCCCTAGCGTGGTTGAGTTAACTGGGCTCAAATGACGCCCTGGAGCTTGCCTTGTGGTCAGGGACAGTTAGTTAATCCTTCTCTCGTGCCGCCATGGAGCTGCCATGGGACGGGTTGCATTAATGGTTTGGAAATGATGGCAGAAATGGTTTTGGTAAAAATTGGGGAATAACATTGCATGGCATTGCATCCCATTACACGGTATAATTTAATTATGACTTGGATTGTCGAATTTGTTGCTATGTTTACCTCGGTATGGTATGATCCCGCTTCTTTATTTTTCTATTCATTGTGTGGATTCACGGGGTCACAAGAGGTGTGTCTTAGGCACCACCTACTGAGTAATTTGCTCACCCCTTATATTTATCATTTTTCAGGATATGGAAGGGAAGTGGCGAACAACACTCCTCCACAGGGTTCGATGGGTTAGTAAACCGTTTTGACATACCTTGCAGTTATGATATCATTTTATTATTTTATTATTTATTTATTATTATTATTATTTTATAAACCCTGAGATGATACGTATATTATGTATTGACATAGGAAATGACAGTAGTGCCCTTAGCTGATCTCGGGTTCGAGTAAAGACCCGGTTAACGATTCGGACCCTCAGATTTGAGTCGTTATAATTCAAGACCAAAAATTTACTCAAAATAGCTTTTTGTCGTTACGTAGAAGCAATAAGATCATTGACTTGGCCCAAAGAACTTAATGATTCACATGATATGGTGAAAATAGTAATTCAACTTGTTGAAAGTCTCTTTAGTCTATAGAGATCACAAATTTGCATTTACAAATGATTTAGAAGTCCATATGATATTGTTATTGCTTAGATGTATATGTCAAAGGTAAGGTTGTTCGCATACGTCTATGTCCAAGTCGTTAAAAAATGGTAGGATGAAAGTTTTATAAAAAAATATATGTATATATATCTATATATTTATATACACAATAGGAAACCATAAGATGTGGTTCAGAATTGAAGCTTGTAGATTTTTTCTTTCCATTTTAAAATATCAATATCAACTGGGGGTGTCCTGCAATAGGTCCCAAAGCTGGAAAGAGGCATTTTAAGTTTATATATCTTTAACGAATATCAGCTGGGAAATACTTCTTCAAACAATAGAATATTCAGGAACTCACCCTTATCACAATCGGCGGTTCTGAAACTGGTAGCCACCTATCGCCGGAACCCTAAGATCTTCGAACGGGGAATACATTTCTGCTCTATCAACTGAATGGTCACTTGTTACGATTGGTAATCGCCCACCACCAACGCCTACAGATTGAGCTCCATGGGGGTGATCGAGTGCTATCCCTGATTGTCCCCTCGTCTCTTCGCCGGATTGACCTGAAATAGCCATTGCTAACTACCTGATGACCAGTGGTTTTTATTAATGGTTATTTCAATTGTTAAAGTGGTATTATTGTTGGGCTGGTTGATTGCTAACTACTTGGCATGTTGGGCTTTTCTTTTGGCCCACGTTGAGCCTTGAAAGTTTACCTATACGTATATAAATTGCTTCATGGTAACCGGATTCCTAAAGACTGCAAATGAGTCGAGTCGAGCAATTAAATACTGGAGTATTACTTTTCAAGTTCAAGTTTGGTTTGTTTGCTTGTTTAAGTAATTTTAATCTTACTCTCAAGCTCCTTTTAGAACCATCAAAATTTTTCGACATTAATGTAATTAGTGACGGACCCAAAAAATTTTGTTTAGGAGGGACGGCCTTTTAATTTGTGAGACAAACTTATATAGTATGTCTATTTTTGTAATTTTAATGGGATTTTCTTCATAAATTTTTAAAAATTTAAAATATAAAATGCAAAAAAATTAATTAAGTAGGACAAATTGTAATTTTAGTGAGAGTATGTTCATTAATTCTAAAAAAAAAATTAAAGTCTAGTTCGTGCCTGAATGTGATGTTGTCTGTACTTTATTGATATATTCTGATATTTGGCAAAGAAAGGACAACTTGCAATGCAGACCATACCATACATGGTCACATCCTCTTGAAAATTGGTTAGTGTTGTAGACAGCAACGTGCTTATTTTTAAAAGGAAGGCGATGAGTGCATAAAACTTATAATTTTATACTCAAAAATAAATATTTAATTAATTTTTTTATTACTTAAATATTCTTATCTTTCCTTTTTCATGTTGTATAGATCTGTTTTTAGAATGAGGAGAAAAGAAGTAAAATGGCAAAAGCGTGAGATTTTTATGGCTGCTAAGAATTTATTTATTGCTGATGAAGAGCACTAGAAGCATAGTAGGAGAAATGGTCAAGCTCGTAAGTTTATAACCAACTTTATAAATAGGTCTCCAATTCATTCTAGACTTGATTGTAGCACAATGTTTAATGTATTTTTTATTTTTGATTTTCCCTCGGTATTCTGATTTAGTGTAAAGATGTGAACAAACCCATGGACTAGTTTTCAGTCTAGTTGTCACTTTACATCATTTGAGATTGAGGAGAGAAATATAACTAAATGCACACTAATTGACCTTCTAAAGAGTTGAATTGAGTTTTGAAACACACAACTTTAAATTTAATTTAAGATAAAAAATCTACTGCTCATGAGCTTTCCTGATAAACACACAGAACCATTCATACAAGTAATCATAATGAGCCTTCTTTTATTGAAATAAGTGTGTATTGAAATTTAAAAGTAAGCTCTCATTGTTGACAACTGATATAATGAGCCATCATTGAGATAAATATATGAAAGTGATTATAATAGCATACATGGTAGGAAGATTGGCGCAATCTGTTGATCATTTCTTAACTTTGGGAATGAGGACCAAGGGATGTTCCTTCTGCAATGTCACAGCAACCTTCTTATTCACGTCTAGCTCAATGGGATCACTTCCATGTGGAAGTGACCAATCAAAACAATGAATCAATGAAGCAACTATCAAAGGAACAAGCTTTGCTGCAATGGGTAGGCCAGGGCAGATTCTTCTCCCTGCACCAAAGGGTAAGAACTCCAAATCATTCCCTTTGAAATCCAAAGTCGAGTTGAGGAACTGCTCTGGCTTAAATTTCAATGGATCTTCCCAAATCATGGGGTCTCACCCAATCGCCCAAACATTTACTAGTACTTGAGAATTCTTAGGAATGGCGTAATTCATCACTTTGCACGAGTCAGGTGAACGGTGAGGAAGCAGAAATGGTCCTGGAGGGTGCAACCTCATAGTTTCTTTGAAACAGGCTTGTAGGTAATGTAGCTGTGGTAGATGGGATTCTAGCAAATCTTGTTTGATTTCTCTTGTCATTTCTTTGTGGACTTTCTTCATGGATTCTGGATTTTTTATCAATTCTGCCATCGCCCATTCAATCGTTGAGGTACCAGTGTCTGTACCAGCAGCGAATAGCTCCTGAGAATGCATCATGTGTATGATTGATTTTTAGATTATATGCCAAACAATTGGAACTGAAACCTCAATAGAAAACGAAAAACTAACGCAATGCATTTTCTCCATATCAATGTAATTTGTGGATTCACCGACCACACCACAGCTAAGAATAGTATGGAAAAACTTGTCTGAATCAAGCCAAACTAGTCCTGTTCAAGCTTGACAAGGCTAGTTGTGCCTTGTTCTAATTAATTAATCTGCATTCTATTCATGTCAAAGAGTTAAAATTTGACTCTCATTACATAGTTCTCTAACCTGGCACCAGTAAGTTTACATTTTAGTATTACCTTCTTGCTTTTGACAGCAAAGATGGTTTCCATATGATTTCAGTTGAAAGAAAATTACTTCAAAAATGCAAAACTAACCTCTACTTTTTTTATTATTTCTACATTAGAGTTCAAAGCTTGAACATTTCCCTTATGGTGATTTTCTTAGAGGGTTAAGTTATCTCAACTGCATCAGATGATCATGAACAAAAAAAAATTGACCTCAAATTTCACTGAATAAGCCCTTGTGATAACCCGGATTTTTTTTTTTTAAGATTTTAATTTATTTCATTATAATTTTAGTTATCATAATTAATCAAATGATTGGAGACTTATCAATTGGAGATTGATTAATTGGAGATAATTTATTTGATTTTTGTTACATATTATATATATATATTATGTCTATGGTAGCAGGCCAGTCGAAGTGAATTGAGAAAGATGAAAGAGGAATGAAAATGTATTTTTTCCAGGACCCATATAATGGGTTTGTTTTAGTTATTACATTATATATATATATATATATATATTTATATTGTTGATGGAACAAGGGGATGCAGCCAGCCGTGGGACAAGAGAGAATGGAAATGGGAAATGGTAATATGTATTAGCGCGGGTCCCACAAGAGATATTATAGGTTTGATATTGTGTTATCACTTTTGTGTACGCGCGTGTGTGTATATAGAGTACAAAGGAGACTATATGTTATATCTGCCAAGATTTGAAAAGAGAAAAGTGAAGATTAATGGCGTGAAAGTGGTGGGGCCCACAAGTTTATTCACTTTTAATGGCCCTAAGGCCATTATGCTGATCATTTTTCTCACTCCTTCCCACTCAATCACTCTCTGCATTTTTTTTTTTTCTCAATTTTTTTTTTTTTTTTTTTTTTTTTTTTTTTTTTTTTTTTTTTACAATTCAAGCCTTGATCTCTCTTTTGTCTTTGGGATTTTGATTTTGCCACTTAAGGCAAAGTTGACGAGCGCGCCGAGATTTACGTTTTGATCGGAGCAAAGTCCCGTTTGACCACCATTGGATTTCGAAATATTGGGCATATTTTGGGGCTTTTCTTCAATTAAGAGGTATGGGTTTCTAATTCACATTTTTTTTAGATTTTTGTGAATTATTTTTCATGAATTGTTGTATAGTATGTTTAATTCTTGTGGATCATTGCAAAAATGATTTATTTGTTATATATGTGATATGTAATTATGTCATTTTATGAGAAAACATGTCTTGAATGATTATATTCCATGTCTTACGTATTTGAGTTACCGGAGATATAGTAAGAAGCATGATATGTGTATTATATAATTTTTCTCCCAATTGTGTTTATGATTAAGAATTTAAATGTATAAAGAATTATGATGTTTAAGTGGTATGGTGCATTTATGCATTTTCATTGGGCATGGAATGGGGGAAAAATTGTTTTAAAAAGGCAATGAATTGTTTTTGGAAAAAGTTTTTGAAAAGTGTTTGTGAAAATCGCACGCCTAGGAGGTGCCTAATGGTCCGTGGTGTTAATGTGATCTAGAGGGAAATGGATAGAGACTCTAGTATGGTTGAGCTACATAGGCCCAGACGACGCCATGGAGGTGCCATGTGGTCGGGGAAAGCTAGCTAAGCCTTCCCTCGTGACGCCATAAAGGTGCTATGAGTCGGGTTGCATTAACGGTTTGGAACGGTGAAAAAGAATTATTTTGAAAAATGAGAAACGACATTGGCATGACATTGCACTCCATTTGCATATTTGGTGTATTTGTGTTTCAATAACAATTATTTATAAGCTTATAGTTGTGGTTGTTGATGTGCATTCCCTATGACATGATCCCGTCTACTTTTTGCCTACTCTTTGAGTGAATTCACAGGGTCATAAGAGATATGTCTTAGACACCTCCTGCTGAGCTTATGCTCACCCCATTATTTTAACATTTTTCAGGTTTGGGGAAAGAAGGGGCAGGTGACAACCCATTGCAAATTAAGACTGGACTGGAACTCTTATTTTGTTGTCTTTTGTATAGAAACATGATCATGTACCTTTTATAAAAAAAATTAATTAATTAAGTGTAACTTGTATAGTGTTGTAATGGTAGAATTTGTATAAATAAATATATTTCATGGATTGTAATTTAATGTAATTAAAGTGATTCCTTGTTTTGAGGAGATGGAGGAACGGGACATTTTGTATATATGTGTTGATTTTGGGGATGTTGTATATTATTGCAGTGTGTGTTGGGATATGATAGATTAGTTTTGAGACTCAGTGAAGCCATTGCATTTTATATGTATTTCAACAGGTCATAGTAGGACTTTTTCTGTGTAGGTCATGCCAAAATTTTTATTTTTATTTATTTGTTATTATTATTATTATTATTTTGGGTCGTTACAAATTTGGTATTAGAGCTTTAGGTTCGAAAACCTAAGGACGACGGGTAGGGTTGACCTAAGTGGGACTTGAGTTGATTTGAAAGTATTGCCAGTTAAAGTGTTTATTGTTTTAAGCAGCATGCCTACTTGTTACTTCCTTATGTGTTTATGGTTTTAAAAGGCATGCTTATTTGCTAAGTGTTCATATGCATACATGTTTAATTGCTAAAATGTGTGTTATATGGCCATGACGATGAAATGTATAAATAATTGAAAACATATTAATTATGATATGATGACAAGTGTGAATTCGGTGATAACGACAAGTGGTAGGCAAGGTGTGTGCAGTTTTATTTTAAATGTTAATGTGACAAATATTAAGTACGGTATATGCAAGCATGTCTCGTATGGTATTGTGACGATTATTTAGGCATGATTATGCAAGTATTTTTTTTTTTTTTTTTAATGAAAGACGGGGTGTTTAAAATTTTATTTTTTGAAATGATGGGATACGATTATATCATAGTATGGGGTACGGTTATTATGTGTGTGTTCACGTGTGTATATACAGTTGGGTAAGCGATGGTTGCTAGAACGGTAGAGTACTTGTTGCAGCATTGAAGGTTGTGTAGGTTTTAACCTGAGTAGGGGAGGAACTCAGTTGCTCCAGGGTTGTTTAGGTGTCGGTTCTTATCAAACGAATGGCGTAGGTCTTTAGCTCGTGGATTAAGCTATTTAGTGCATAGTTGCTTCAGTTTTCTCGTTGTTTTAAGGGCATAGTGCTTGGGGCACGACCTTCGAACGATTGCTATGGTACAGTGTGATGTCCAGGGTGAGACGTATGAGTTTCATGTGTTAGTGCGTCGGTTCTTGTGATTGTGGAGGTCAGGTCTACGATGTGACGTTTTCGTGAGGTATGTATGACTTTTAGAAATTAGTGTTTATGACTTAGGTCGCGGTTTGGTACAGGGGTTCTCTTCGAATCGGTTTGTGGTGGGTGTGATAGAGGTTGCTAGAGTCACGAGTGTAGTTTATGGGTTGTAAACGTGTATTTCGAGTATTCTGGTATGGTCCGAGGAAGCTTGTTGGTTACGCCTGTTAAGGGGACTTGTTGGGCTCTGTGAGTCTAAAGTGGCGTGGGTATTGACTAGAGTCATGCCAGTACTGGGTGATGGATTATTTGATGTGATTCAGTTCATGGGTGGTAGGAGTCAGTTTTAGAGATTGGTTTGTCGAAGAGTGATTCCCATTCCGGAGTGCCACGGGAGTGTGTTGCGGGTGATTGACTCTCGATGAGTTGATTACATTGCTTGGTTGATAAGTAGGGTTATGGGTTGGCACGGTTGTCGAGAGAGTCTCAAGGTGGTGTATAGTGGTCAGTTTTAGATGTGTAGTGTAGGATTGCACGATAAGGTAGGTAGTAGGGAAATGCTTGGTTTTTTGCAGATGGAATGATAGATAATAGGTAATGTGTACTAAATAGATTGTGTTTGAAAATTAGAAGTTGTGGGCTATGTTTGGAGTATCATGTGATATTGCTGGGTGTTTGAGGATTCAAGAGATAGACTGTCGATTTGAAATGATTGGGACAAGGGTGATCCCGTAGGCTTAGCTGGTAGCCTCATTTGACTTTGTCGGGGTCAAGAGTGTTATGAGGAATGGTGAAGAGGGGAGGTAATGATGTTGAACCAAGGGTGTGAAATTTTCTTGCTTAAGCACGCAGATTGTCTTGGAAAGAATGGTCGGAGTAGCAGATTAAGTGATAATAACTGATTGTGTTGTAGATGGTTTGAGGAGACATTTAGATGTTGAGCATTCTGGTTTTTGTGCTCATTTTCCTTTTGGGATTTGTTGGTATGGCATTGCCGTATAAAGGTCTTTTTCTGGTAGTAAGTAGTGGTTACTGTGGGGAGTTTCGAGAGTGAGGCATACTCTCTTGTTGTGATTGTGTTATCCTAGGGATTGCTTATGGGGAGATCGCTTAGCGGTAGTCTGTTGAGTCCGTGGGACGTGAGTTCGAGTTGTCATTCGAAGATGATGGTAGTAAAGGCGTTGTGACGTGAAGTCTTAGTTTTGATCAGCAAAATGGTTTACGGTATAATCCGAGGGTGGATTAGAGAGTATAAGTTGTTTGTTGTGTGTTGTTAGGTAGGTGATGGGATTGTGCGCCAGTTGAGGCGATTGTGGACAGTTTAGTCTTTAGAGCTAGTGAGGACGATGTTGCCAGATAGACACTTTTTCTTTTGACGAATCAGTGGGTTGTTGTGACTGAGGTCACGGGTCTTGTGTGCACGGTAATCGAGGTAGTATCGCCTGGGAAAGAGGAGATGGAATGAGTGGTAATGTGTCTTTTTATAGCTTAGAGGTTGTCATTTGGGAGTGACTAATTCTAGATAGAATGGGACGCAGTGTCTAACGTACTGTGATTGTTTCTAGTGTTAGTACACTGTAAGCAATTGAAGCTCTTATCTGATTGGTTTTGGTTAGCATGGGTGTAGCGGAGTAGCGTATGCGAGGTTCCAGTATTGATTGTGTATGACGCTTAGTTAGCGGCGAGATCGCTTAGATTTAAGTTCATGGTTCCGTACGGGCATCTGGTTAGTTCTTCTTTCAGTATGTAAAGAATCTAGTTCATCTCAAGTAAGATTGGGTGTCCACGGTTGGACAATTAGTGAGTAATGTGTGACAAGGTGTCGGGAGCATTCAGGTGCGAGTTGTTAGTCTCTGGTGAGTGTGGGGTTTATTACCCTTCCATTTGTTCTGGTCCTAATAAGGACGTCTTTTGTCGTATATCTTTTCCTCTATTTAGGAGTTGTGCGCGTCCACAGATAGGCTGACCCATGTGTGGTTTGTTATGCTGTTAGAGTTCACCGATAAAGGGTTGGTTATTTTGGTCGACTCACTCCCATGGAGGGAAATGTAGTCTTGGGTTTTAGTAATGCTTATTCTACGAGTGGTTTTGATCGATGGTGTGTGAGGCACGAATTGCAGAATAGGAATTGTGTGTTTCTAGTGTCTGGTTCCAGCAGTAATGGCTAGGGGATGTGTCGTGAACTGTAAGTTCGAGGATGATTAAGTGTTATTATGTGAGTCATGCACTCGGATGTTTTTATAGATGTTTGATTCAAGCAGTGTTTTGAGGACAAGTGTCGGTATCGTTTCAGGATTATATGATTTGAAATGTGAATATATGATTCCTTTGAGGAGTAATCGTAGTAATTGACTTTGGTTTTGAGATCTCAGGCATGAGATAGTCGCGTTGTGTATTTTGACGAGGTAAGAATTGAATTGAGTGAGGAGTTGTTTACATTGTATGGGTGTTATGAGGAGATTAGAGAGCATTTATGTTGGTCGATGATTGTGACGTTTAGTGTCGTGTTATTTTTAGCTTGTTATGGATTGTGTGATTAAAAAATGATTGAGATTTTTAGAATAGGTATATGACTGTATAGTTATTAAGGTTACATAGAGCGATGGATTAATAGTGACTAGATCTCATGGTTGTTTTGTGTACTGTGTGAGATTGTGTTTGAGGTTTAGACCTGAGGACAGGAACGACGTTTGTGTTGAGACCAGATCGATGATGAGAATGGCCTGGCCAACTATTTCTCTTGAATCAGTCCCTTTTTAGCACGATGTCGGGTCAAAGGTCAATGATTGTTTCAATTTGTCAGAGATAGTGAGAGCACGGTATTGCACGTTATGCCAGTGTGACAGTGTAGATCTAGTCTGGGAAAGACCTTCGTTTGAGATAATGGTGTTTTATAAATTCAAGTGATTTGTCTCGGGTGACGAGGTGTGTTGGTAGGATAAAGTGTCCGATAAAGGATTGTGGTTTGACCATTTGATTATTGAAGATCTTATTTTGAAGATTTAGGTTCTGGGTACAGGACAGTACGTTTTATTGTTCTGGTGACTCATGAATATGTAGTCATTGAGAGATTTGTTGTTTAGCCATCTTGTAGTTGTTTAGTATAATGATTGTCGAATAATACGGTTGGTAGTCGCTGGTGCAGTTATGCAATGATGTAGCTATGGGTAGTTAGCGAGTGCTTGATCTGACAGGGATGTGTAGATTTGAGTTTGAGTTTGATTGTGCGACGGACGAGATTCTTTGTCTAGGGTTTTGTGTATCCTTTAAGGGATAAGTTGGGATTGGAAGTTTTTGGGTATGCGGAAACTGTCTGATCTGAATTTCAGGACGAAATTCTTTTTAAATGGTGGAGAATGTGACAGCCCGAATTTTTTTTTAAGATTTTAATTTATTTCATTACAATTTTAGTTATCATAATTAATTTGATTAATTATGATCGGAGACTTATCAATTGGAGATTGATTAATTGGAGACAGTTTATTTGATTTTTGTTACATATTATCTATATGTGTGTGTGTATATATATATATATATATATATATATATATATATATATATATATATTTGTTTATTATGTCTATGGGTAGCAGGCCAACCGAAGCGAATTGGGAAAGATGAAAGAGGAATGAAAATGTATTTTTGGCGGGACCCATATAATGGGTTTGTTTTAGTTATTACATGCGAATTGGGAAAGATGAAAGAGGATTGAAAATGTATTTTTGGCGGGACCCATATAATGGGTTTGTTTTAGTTATTACATTATATATATATATATATATATATATATATATATATATTATAATTTGATGGAACAAGGGGATGCTGCCAGCTGTGGGACAAGAGAGAAGGGAAACGGGAAATGGTAATGTGTACTAGCGCGGGTCCCACAAGAGATATTATAGGTTTGATATTGTGTTATCAATTTTTTTTGTGTGTGTGTGTGTGTGTATATATAGTGCAAAGGAGATTATATGTTGCATATGCCGAGATTTGAAAAGAGAAAAGTGAAGATTAATGGTGTAAAAGTAGTGGGCCCCACAAGCTTATTCACTTTGAATGGCCGTAAGGCCATTATGTTGATCATTTCTCTCATTCCATCTCACGTAATCTCTCTCTGCTCTTCCTTTTTTTCTTTTTCTTTTTCATACAGTTCAAGCCTTCATCTCTTTTTAGTCTTTGGGATTTTGATTTTGCCACTTAAGGTAAAGTCGACGAGCGCGCTGAGATTTACATTTTGATCAGAGCAAAGTCCCATTTGGCCACCATTGGATTTTGATGAGCGCTGAAAAGTATACTTTTAAACCTCTTAAGTTTGAGTATTATAGGACCTTTATCTATCTTATTTACCCGTTTTAGTACTTATTTGTGTTTTTGTCTATTTCAGGTCAATAATGTTAAAATGGGCTAAAAACGGTTTCTTAAGGCCTTTTTGGAGTCAAACTAAGTCTAAGTGAGGATCCGGAGCAAACGGAGGCTGATTTGGAGCAAAAAGAGGCTGATCCTGAAAAGCTGCCAAGTCTGATCGATCCAATTTTTTCTTTAATTGATCCAACTTCTCTGATCGATCCAACTTTTTCTTTGATCGATCGAACATTGCTGGCAGTGAGCTGTCTTATTCCCGTGCGCACCCAAAAGTCCACCTACCACATAGTACGGGATTAGATATTTTTGGAGCAATATTCCTAACTTAGTGACTAAGAAAATGACCTTTTATATAAAGAGAAGTGACCCATTTGTAAATGAGCTTTTTGTCATTTTATTTTTACATTATAATTTATTTTTCTCTCTCTAGTAAAGTTAGAGATTAGGGTTAGAAGAAAAGGCGGATATACTCACCATTATACTACATCAATTTGGTGTTCATCTAAGCGGCTTTAACTCGTCAAATTTTGGCGCCATTGCCGGGGATTAACGGTTTTGTTGGAATTAAACTAGACAATAGTGTTCATTTGATTGCTTCTATTTTTTATTTATTTTCCATTGTATATTCTTTTCTCTTGCTCTCATTATTATTTGTTCAATTAGGTACTTGACTACAAGGAAGGCGAACTTTGGAACTTGAAGCAATTATTGGAGGTTAAAGCTAAATTTGGAGTTGAAGTGCTAAAGGACCGTTGTGAGCAATTCTTGGAACTCTTATATTTTAATTGTTTCACTTCTTTGCGTGCTTGTGATAGCCCTTGTTGAGGCTCATTTTATTGCTTAAATTTTTGTCCAAGCATAGGCCCTTGTTGAGGCCATTATTTGTTGTATTTGGGTTTTAATTGTGAATGGAGGAATTGTTTGATCCAAGTTTGGGGGGAAATTACATCCCTTCACCTTATACTCCTCCATCATATTTTAATCCTTATGAGATTGTGTCCAATACATTTCAACATGCATCATCTTATCATGGACTTGATCACTCATTTAATCCTTCTTATGACTATTACCCTCCACCACCATTTTATGATGAACCAATTCCACCACCTTCTAGGTACTCACTCAGATTTGAAGAAAAAGTGTTAGTTTTACTTGATGTTCATATTTCACAAACTGCACTTATTAATTCTCATTCTCAAACTTTAGCCAAGCTTGAAGCTCAAGTTGAGCAAATTACAAGTACTCTTTCTCGTCAAGAGGAGGAGGAAGAGGCAAATGAAAAAATGGCAAGAACTTCAATGTATATAGATGAGGATGATGAGAGTGAAGAGGATGAAACAAGTGAGCTAATGCCTATCACTCTATCTTGTATAGAGGAGGAAGTGGCAAGTGAGTTAGTGGCTAATCCAATAAAGCATAACATGATTAATGAGGACTTTCCTTGTTTTGATTATGATTTTATCTATGACATGGCTACTTTAGAGAGTGAGAAGATGTTGACCACACTTGAGGTAGGAGAGAAGGAGGAGGAACTTGTTGAAGAGGGCCTTCCTTCTATTATCTCCAATGACCCTCTTGAGGAATACCTTTTTGAAATGTATAAAAATTGTGGTTTTGACTTTGAAAGCTCCAAAAATGAAGTGAACTCTCTAATGGACTCCTTCGCTAATTTGGAAGGTGAAGAGATGGTTATTTTTGCGGAGGAGAAAAAGGATGAAGAGAAGGTGTTTCTTGATATTCCAAATGAGTCTTTGAAAGACATTGACTTGCCAATTCACATAGGAAGTGATTCTTTGAATACACTTCAAGAGCACAAAAATGATGCAAGGCTAACCATGATTGATTTTGTTTTCAAGACCGTGGATGAAATGAACAATATCATCTCTTTCATTTCTTTTCAAGTTATTCTTTTGGAGGATGATTTTATTGTTGTAAGTGGGACATTAAATGAGAAAAGTGAAAAGAGGATCAATAAGGATGTTTCATATCCGGTTTTTTATTCTTTTGATTAGTGAGTTGACCCAACGTCTTGCTAAAGACGTTAAACACTAGTATTCGTAGAGTTTCCAACTCTATTCCTATCCCATTTCTTTTTATTATTTATTTTTATTTTCCGTTCTTGTGTACATTTTTCCATCCAATTTTTAATTTTTATTCTTGTTACCATCATTGGGGTTTAGCATAGGATTTTATGCACTTTCATCTCAAAATGATGCATTTGGTACCAGTTCGATCGATCACAAGAGCACCTTCGATCGATCGAACATCATCTTTGCAAATTTTCATCTCTCTGTTCCATTGTTCGAAGAGAACCTGCATATTTCAGCTCTCAGTCCCATCGTTCGAACTTTCTGTTCGATCGATCCAAGTAAATTTGATCGATCCAGGAGCCCTCATGATCGATCAAGATTCCATACTTAGAAAAATTTTCAAAGCACCGCAAATTTTATATCCACTATCCCATCGTGCGAGCATAGATCAATCATGGTGTGATCGATCCAAGTCAAGATCGATCACAACTTTACCCTTTGAATTTTTAACTTTTTCTTCTTTCTATTTTTCATCTTCTTTGACTTTTGTTATTCCTTTTATTTTATTTACTCTCTTTTCTCTTATTAAAAAAAAAAAAAAGTTTTAAAATTTGTTTAAAATACAAAAATATTTTTGTTTATTTTATTTTATTTTTGAAAACTCCAAAAAGATTTTTATTTTATTTTATTTTCATTTTTACTTTCAAGATTTATTTTTATTTCAAACTTTTTTTTTTTTAAAAAAAAAAAAACAAAAAATCCCAAAAATATTTTTCTTTTCTTTTCTTTTATTTTATTTCCTTTTATCTTATTTGCAAAAAAAAAAAATCCAAAAATATTTTGTTTAACTTGAATTTTTAATTTTTCTTAATTTTTAATTTTTAGTTTTTAATTTCGAATAAAAAAAAAGAAGATGGTTTTTCAAAGAAGCATTCTGTCTTGCTAGAGACGTTAAACTTAGCAACCATTTTGCATATTTCTTGCATTTTTCATTTCTCGCATTTTTCATTTCTCTTTACATGTTTTCACATATAAAAAAATAAAATAAAATAAATAAAAAAGTAAAAAATAAATAAATAAATAAAATAAAATAAAATTTTATTTTGCATCTCTTATTTCATTGCATGTTTATTTGTTTTATTTTTGTATGTGTGTACATACTTGTTATGAAAAAAATTAAATTAAAAAAAAAAATGATTTTTTTTTTTTTTTTTTCATTATTTTGGTCTTGCATCTATCTTATTTTTTATTTTTCATTTCTTGCATTGTACATATTCTTTCATTACATTTTGCCTTATTTATTTTTCTTTTTGCATTTTGTTCATGCATTTTATTATTTGTTTTTCTTATTTTTTTTGTATATACTTGTTTTCATTAAATGAAAAATACAAAAATTTGTTTCATCATTGTGCCCTTATGTGTACTCATGCACATTTCATGCTTTAATTAGGGTTTGATCTCATATCTCCCTTTCATCTTGTGCTATATTGCCTTAAAATGCTTGATTTATTTATCTTCTCCCATTTGATATTTGATGTAAGTATGCTCATGTGGTTATTCAAGTAGATTGTTGATTCCAAGTTTGGAAGAGACGTCTTTCGAATTGGATCATGACCAGGCTTCACGTCTACACCACCACGGTATACTCTTTCCATCTTTTCCATTGTTCTCATTGCACATTGAGGACAATGTGCGGTTTAAGTTTAGGGGTAAGGTGACTTTGTTGCATTCTACTTGAAATTGAGCTTTAAATGCATGATTGAGATTTGAGATTGATGTTAGTTATGATTTTGATCTTTTGAGGACTATATTGCTTAAAATTTAAAAATTGCTTAACTTGAGAGTCCAATACTCCTTGTATGCCTTGTGGATGCCATTTAAGGGTAAATTTTTCGAAAGATTGATATCTTGCTTGCACTTGTGGTCCACATCATCTTGATTTTGTGATTGTTTTGAGATTCACTCTAAGATTCTACACTAGTACAGGCGCACACTAGTATTCATATGTGGGGTACATGCTTTGTTGATTCTTGAATTGGTTATATCCCAATTGGACTAGTAGTGCATTGAAAGTTTTCATTCTTGATAAAGATGGATAACAACCCCTTTTTACTAAGTAGCAGGGATTCTAGCTTCATCAAGCATTGAACTTCTCGCGCCGAAAGGTGGAGGGCCCAAACTCTAGGTTAATAATTGGATTGATAAAAAGAAAAGAAAAAATGTTGTAAAAGCAATAAAAAAGTAAGGACTTCTTCCAAAAGGTGAGAAGTGGGAAATGATTAGATGGTTGTTGTCGTGATTTGTAGCCTAGTTGATTTGAGCTTGTAAGTCCGTAGGGGTGTTTGAATACCTAATGCCCTAAAGCCGTCTGGTTTGGGAGTCATTGAACTAACGCTCGATCTCATGAATCGCTAGAAAGCTTAATAGATCATTACATTACACCATATTTCCATCTTTGATCCTATTAAAAAAATAAAAATAAAAAAATAAAAATAAAAATCGAGTGAAAAGAATAAATGCACCTAGAACAATAAAGCTTTAATAAAAGGTCCACTTTTTGTCTTGATGATCGGTACTAGATTTGTGTGCTAGTTTGAGGGGATGTGCTCAATTCTTTAGTTGGCTAAGATAACAACATATTTGATGCCGGTTCACTCAAAAGAATTCTAGAGTTGTTTTGATTTGCATGATCATTTTCTTAATGTGTGGAGGACCATACTTGTTTGCTTGATGTTAAAATTTTGGGAGATTGCTTAAAAATGTTTGAAACATTGCATACTTGAGGTAGTTTTCACCCAATGATTGTTTCTAATATTGGTGTCTCTTTTGTGAGAATGAGCTTAATGTTTGTGGGTATCATTTCTGAAAACCCTCACGAGACTTCACTCGTCCACTAGGGGTAACCTAGGGGTTTAAAAGGCTTGTTGCATATGCTAAATGTAATCGTGTTCCCTACGAAAGTGGCGCTATCCATTTATTGCTTTCTAGTTATAGTTGTTTAGTTATTCATTTCATTTCTTTACTTCATAGTTCATTGCTAGGGACTAGCAATATGTAAGTTTGGGGGTGTGATGAGCGCTGAAAAGTACACTTTTAAACCCCTTAAGCTTAAATATTCTAGGACCTTTATCTATCTTATTTACCCGTTTTATTACTTATTTGTGTTTTTGTCTATTTCAGGTCAATAATGTTAAAATGGGCTAAAAATGGTTTCTTAAGGCCTTTTTGGAGTCAAACTAATTCTTGGAGAGGATTCGGAGCAAAAAGAGGCTGATATGGAGCAAAAAGAGGCTGATCCTGAAAAGCTGTCAAGTGAGATTGATCATGAGATCGATCAGAAAAATGAGATCGATTAAAGTTGGATTGATCGAACTTTTCTCTGATCGATCGAACAATACTGGCAGTGAGCTATCATTTTTCTGTGCCCGCCTAAAAGTCCACTTATCACATAGTACGGGATTAGATATTTTTTGGGCTATATTCCTAACTTAGTGACTAAGAAAAGGACCTTCTATATAAAGGGAAGTGACCCATTTGTAAAGGAGCCTTTTATCATTTTATTTTTCATTTTGTATTTTTATTTCTCTCTCTAACAAAGTTAGAGATTAGGGTTAGAAGAAAAGGGAGAAGTGGAGGTACATCTCAAGATCCATCTCTAGACCACTCTATCTCTCCATCTCTAGAGCTTCAAAGAAGAAGAAGAAGAAGAGGAAGAAGAAGATGAAGCCATATTTGGAGCTTGATTCCATGACCACATTTACCTCCTCCATGATTGGCTAGATCTACACTTAAGGCTTGGATGAGTCGTAAGTCTTGTGTAATCTAAACCCTTGTATTTCTATTTTTGGGGATTTATATATATTGTTGTGATTAGTGTTCTAGCCTTGTGATGAATCTTGGTATATTTCTATGATTTCTATGGTTTAATTCTTCCTATTAATTCTCTAGTTTGTTTACATGTCTATGTGTGATTAAATTAGGAATTATTTCTTACATGATTCATGTAATGACCTGATTATTTTTCTTCCTTTTCTTTTTCTCAGATTTTAACGGATATTTTTTTTCCGTTGTCTTTTCCTTTTTGGGTTCGGTTTTTCATCACTTGATATCGTCTCGAGTGCTCTAGAATGATTTCCGAGACTCTTTTCCTTGGATTGACAACTTCCTTTGGGAATTGTGTCATTTCCATATTTTATTTTTCCGAACACTATTCACATTTTGTCTTTTTCTCGTTTATCCATTTTCCTTGCATAACCTCACTTTTTGTGCTCGAATTTGATTCCGGTTTTTCATGCATTCATGATATTTGATTTCCATGATAGTGGTATTTTTACTTTTCTAGATAGCATGTTGATTGCTTACTTATTTCATAAAGGGGCATTAATGCATACTTTAGTATAATTATTCTTAACTTATGGGGTTTTAGTGTAATTAAATAAAGTAATTATTTTTCATCTTGGGGACCATTTTACAATTAAATTTGGAATATATTTTCAAAAAGGACCTTTTTATAAATTTTGAAAAGTGTGATAAGTGTCACACTCTCATTGGTCCACTTGTTGACATTTGTGTGGAAACACTTTAATGCATTGGATGATGACATTTGGAGGGTGAGTATTCACCCACTTGTTGGCCTAGGATTGGTGCACTTGTTGGCTTGGATGGTTGACAAGTGTAGGTGTGGGATTAAACATAAGAAGGAGCCATGGATTGGTGACAAGTGTAGGTTCACAATTTAGTCTTGCAAATATCTTTGGGCCACTTTGGGATTATGGTTTTAAAGGAGGGTTTTTGTGCAATTGACCATAGATGTGTGTGTTGACCATGGTGTAAGAGCACATAGTGAGTGGAGGATTTCTATTTCCTCCACTCACACTTAACCACATTATTTCATTCTCTTCCTTACAAGAAAACCCTAGCCTCCATGGATGGAGCTTGAAGCCTTAGGCAATGACCTTGATCTTTGAGGCCTTTCCACTTACTTTAGACCATAAAGCTTGGAATACTTTTTGTTCCCCTCATCCTCCTCTTCAAAACCCTTAAAGGATCTAGCCTAACTTCTAGTTTTGCTTTGGTATCTAGAGATTCAATTCTTTAGTGAGGTATTGATTTATTATTTTGAAGTATTTTTATGTCATTATTGAGTGTTTTACATGCATGGAAAAGAAGGACTTGTATTTTGCCCTTAAATTGTTTTAACTTGAAATTAATCTTGTCAAATTAAATATAGAATATGAAATTATACTCAATTATATTTCATTTAGTTTTGGTTTCATTTAATTTGGATTTAAAATGAATTAGTTATGAAATTTTGAAGTTGCAAGCTAGTTGCTGGAAATTTGAAGCTTTTCCTTTTCAGTCCAGAAATGAATTTTTATATAGAGCTGTTGTGCTTCAATTGCCTTGAAATTTTTACTGGAACTTCCTCCATCGATTTTACACTATTCAGAATTTTTTCACGATTTTAGAGCATTTCTAAATTTTTTTAAAAATCTGAAACTATCTGCTATCCATGTTTTTATTGTAGCTGAAAAACATATTTTTAGATGATTTATTTCACTAACCTTTTGACATTGGATCATGGCTTAAATTTTCAGTTTTATACTCTCGTATGTTTACTTCCAAAATAAATTAGGTTTGCCCAATTTGGATGTCAAATGAATTTTAGATGAATTTTCAAAGTTGGAAGCTACAGACTGAAAATATGTTTTCTGGGCAGAATTTGTTTCAAAGTTTTGGGTCAAAACAGTTTCAATTGGGAAAATATTTTGTTAAACTAAATTGATATTATCAAATTACAATGTTTAAGCTTTCATTGGGCTTTGGATTCATTCAATTTGGGTTAGAATTGAATTTTTTATGAATTTTACAAGTTGAAGGTAGCAAGCTGAAAAATCTATTTTGCGGACCAAAAATTTAGGGCGATTTCATTTCGATGGTAATTGAGATTTTCATTCCAATTGAGGTAGGGAATGTTTTAGGATTATTTGTGTGTTGTATTGTGTGTTTGCCATGATTATACAACATATATGTATGCCTTGTATCAAATTTAGAAAGTTAGTAATTTTTATTTCTTTGTATAAGATTTAAAATTTATGATGA